AATACTTTTATTCAGCAAGGATGCATTAAATTGATCAAAAGTGAGAGTAAAGTTCTAAAAATTATATAACAATGATTTGAGTTATCAAGCTTCTTTTGTCATAGTTATTCGTATTTTGTTCATGTAAACACACTTATTTACTCACTAACACAATTGAACAAAGAGCCCAATTCGTTTGAAGCATAACACCTCCAAATCCATACGTTCCTGTGCTCTCTGGGGCAGACGGCTTTCTAACACGGAGCACAAATGTGATGAATAAGCTTCTAAATGTGCTGCTCTTGCACTATCCTCACCTTGTGCAGTTCCCACTTAAAACCATCCAAAAGAGAACATGCATGTGCCCCTGTAGAGTGCGGCAGTGTCAGTGCGGTTCACGTCAGAGTTTGGATAAATGATAACAAGCGCCTAGCACACAGCCCCTCTTTTCTTTTTACTCTACTAAATCTCTCTGCTTCAGAGGGCCATATCTCCTTTTTACCCCATCGGCGCCTAACTCTCATTGTCTGACAGAATGATTAATATGACAGAACTTCACATCACAAACACAAGTTCAGAGGCTGCAGTCATCTTTGCCATTCTGCCACATGCCTTTGGGTGGTGGCATCATTAGCCAGGAATGATCAGGCATGCAGGCAGACAATCAAGGCCCACCTTACTATTTAAATCTGAAAGTGAGCACACAAAAAAACAACAAGCCTTAAAGAGCAGGTCATATGGTATTTTAGAGTGTCCTAATATTGTGTTTGAGTCCTCTACAACAGGTATAAATGCATCTAAGGCCAGAAAACATAATTTTTAACAACGTAATTTTCTCAGAATATACATCTAATATTTTGCCAACGATTTTTAAACGATTCGTTCCAAGCAAGTTCGGAGGAAACCCCTCGCTTCCATAAGCCTACTCTGCTCTGATTGGTCAGCTGGCCAAGCCTGTTGTGATTGGCACAGAGAGGAGTCCTTGAGCAAGTTAGCGAGCGCTACCATTGACACAGCACCTTTGCATAAAACAATAACATAGTGCTCCAATCCGTTCTTATAATAATGGCATAAAATACAAAAACACTTATGCAAGCGAATCGTGCCCACAGCTAAAGTTTAGCTGTTAAACTGCAACGTTAAACACTTAAAACAATAATAGTGGATACGTTAGCCGAGCGCTAATGTGACTAACTGATGAAACGATACAGTTTGTAAACCAAAAATATGTCTACTGTAATGTTTGAAGAACGACAGACAAAAGACTCTACATTAATCGACATTCCAAGGAAATAGTGGGTTCACAGCGAATTATCAGAACTAACGTATTTCAGTAAGACAGTAATATCGTGCTTTACCTGGAAACCTAAAGCTGCACTAGGTATACATCACATATTAGCAAAAAACTTTTGGATATTTTGAGCACTCAATTGAAAATGTGCACATAACGTATCAATCTTACAGGTTGTGGTTCGGAGAGCTTGTTAGTCCAAATAAAGAAGATTTGAAGCCGACGAAGATAAAAGCCAAGATTAGAGAAGTCCTCCGTAAAATGCTGAGCACACAACAGAAGGTTTGAATTGCATTTCTGTGGTATCCTTGAACACAGCGTCTTCTCCACATGATGTAAACACACTAACTAGCGGAAGTGTTTGTGGGCAGAGCAGATATGTTACCCAGTGACGTATACCAGTAACAGTCAAAAGATTTGAAAATATGACAACTCGTTAAGGCAATTCAGAATCAACTCTCTCTTTTGAGAGACAATATCTTTATTTATCATGCACCTTTTTGATGAATAACTTTGCAGAATGTTTTCATTTAAGGATAGCTACGTTATAAACTGCAAAAGAGATATTTTTCAAAAACCCATATGACCTGCTCTTTAAATAAACACACACCCTTATGCATCAGTTTACAAGGTCTGAACAAATGTACACACATTAATGTACACACTGTCAGACATATATCAAAGTGACAAGACAAGAGAGAATCTTAATATGAAATGGCAAGCACTCTATGCCCTGAACAGTGGGGCGACAGCCCATAACTCATGAAGGTGTGGGCAAATCTCCCTGTTTAAAATCCTCTCACTGGGAGATTCACACTAGGCGCATTTCCATTACAGATTTGCGCAAATCTTTGGCGATATTTTATAAATGTCGATAAAAAGGTATTGCGAAATGACGGCGTTTCCATTAACCAATGTTATGAGACTTAAACGTAACCTTTTGCCTCTGGCGATAAGTCATGGCAATGGATTTTGGTGGGATTTTGGCTATATTTATTCAAAGGAGGCTTATGCGTGTATCTTTACAGAAGCAGCAAAGAGAGCCGCTTCAGAAACATGCGTGGCGCAGCTGGAATAAACCATAGCCTGTATAAAAACATAAACACAAGCATTGAGTGGCCGCGATCAGCTTCAGTGACCGTATCAGAGCCACACTGCACCGCAGACGTGTGCAGTGTAAATTGTCTAAGCATTAATAGTAGGGAAAGCCCCTTATACTGGAGCGCGGCCACTTATGAAGTGTTTCTTGGAGGTTATAGTACATTGAAGAATGATCATATGACTTTTTACATACGCCATGTGACCTGTAAATGCGAAAAAGCCGTTTCCATTGCAGGTTTGCGAATTAT